TTCCGTCTTCTTGCTCGGCGCCATCTCAACAGATCGAAACACTGCTACAACCGTGTCGTGCAGATGTTTCCAACACGAGAGACCAATGCAAGGCGGCCCACGATCACGGGGTTCCGATGTTGAGGCTACTTAGCTACTTCCCAGCTACAACGGAATCAATGGCTGCTGACTGAGGCTTGTCGTATCCGCTCTCATGGTGTTGGTGCTTGCGGAACCATACCATCAGCTGTCGCGCTGTGCTTCTTCTGTGCATTCCTTGCGCGGACATATGTTGATTCTGTAAGTTGCTAGTGCTCTGGACCCTGACAATGCTCAAGTCGAGAACAGAGATTGCTAGCCTTTTGTGCATGCGTCCTGCCAAAAAAACCCGGCCACTCCCTGAACCAAAACCCCTTCAACTCTCCACCTCGGGACCCTGTAGCCTTGAAACTTCAAACTCTCTCCGTCAAGTTTTAAACCTTACTTAAATATCCTGAACTCTTCAAACCGCTGGGTTTAGGCCTCAACCAAACCCCTAAACCTCTGAGCACCAAACCCTCAAACCCTTAAGCCCTAACCTTAAACCAACCCAAAACTCCGAACTCGCCAGTCTTGCTTTTCGCTTTACAAGCTCGTGTTGAGCCGGCGCTCGGTCTGATCACCGCTGGTATCAAAAGTTCAAGCGTTTTAGCACAGGGCTAGCAGGGTGCAGCCATGTGCAGCATACCACACTGACCTAACGCCGTCCCACCGAAAGCAGAAACTCGGGTCTTGGGCGCTTTAGGGCTTTCAGCACTCACTCTCGGACAAACCACAGCGAGGATTCCGGCTTTGGGGTTTGCAGTTTTGGGAGAGGTTTCAGGTCTTCTGGAGCTTTCAGCTTTATTCATCCGCATTAGCACTCAGCGTCGTTGAAACTTTGTTTGGGTGGGCTGTAGGGGTTGAGATTGAGGTCTAGTCTAGGGTCCCACACATGCCGATGTGGATAAAGATCATTGGTTCTGTTGAAGATCTCAAGGTCGCCGTGCCACGGAAAGGTTTTCTGCTCAGCAGACGTGGAATCAGCCTGTGTGTGTACCTGAATTCCATGCTAGGCCAGGTATCTGAACCTCCTGGCAGTCTGAGGCTTTCAAGCAATCATTGCAACCTCAGAAGTCGTCATTAGCAGCGATGCGAGCTATCATTGCACAGGCCCCTCCTTCAACATGATCTTAAATCGTGAGCAAACAAACACATCCAACTGACACCTTAGCACAAAGCTCCCTCTCAGTGCAGCTTCTCTCCATCAGATACCTGAAAGGACTTCCAGAAAGATCAGCATCCTTGACCTTCGCAAATATATCTCTGCAGGAAACCGAATTGAAACTCGGGAAATCTAACGCAAGACGCAGGTCGTTGGCCGCCACTTGTAAAATTACTATTAGTGTACATTCCAAGAGTTCTAGAAGACATGGCAGGTCTTTCGCCGTCAAGCCGCTCTACTCGTCAGGCCTGACGTTCCCCATGTATGGCATCTGCACTGGACCGACATCTGGATGTCGATCTTCTCGAGCACGAGAACTTCATCAAAGCTTTCGGGGCCATCGCAAGACCAACGTCTATACCTTGTGGCCGCAGGCTTGCGGGGTCTACTGCGATCCCAATGATTTTGGGATATCACTCTGCAGCTGCATGGGAGCATTCCCGGGTCTTTGGGGAGCTCCCGGACGGCAAACAGGCCAGCCAGGACTTGGCGCACTACAGTTCGCCCATATCATGTTTTCATGAGATACCATGTCTTTCAAGCAGGCCATCCAGCTTGATATCTCTCTCTCTGTCTGGATTTGAGATGCTTCCAAAGTTTTTGTTCAGAGGCTCGCCTTCGAGCGCAAAGCCCATTTTCCATGCTCTTCTGGCACAACTCCTCTTTATAATCCACTACGGCACTTGATCTAATGCCTAGGATTCTCTTTTCAGCAGACTTAACATAACATCGTTACACATGATATGATTGGAGGTAGAACCCTTGTTTAAGAAATGTTTTGAGTGGCAGCTTTGGCTCCTGGGACTCCTAGATGAGCGTTCCGTATTCACGATGCAACACATGGCTGTCTACATGCCGCCACTGTAGTATACTAGATAAAATGGGGGGCCGGAAATGTTAGGACTGAGTTTCGGGGTGTGGTGTGTCATTTTGGCTACGTGCAACTACGCAGTCGTCAGAAATGGCAGAGACTGCATCGGGGGCTTGGCCTGAACCGTCTTGAAATCCCGTGCAGCTCTATGCTGTGCAGCTCACCTGCTAACTTTCCCAGGTCCCTCACGCAAGAAGATACCAATTCCACGCAGGCGGTGCAACCTGCACAGGGGAAACTTGAATCATGGTTTGTTTTGCACGACTCTTTTCCTGCTTTAGAGATGTATGTGGTGTGCCAGGAGGGCTTAAAAGAGCTAGTCTTCCATGCTCCGAGCTGGTCACAAAGCCAAGAGTTTTCAACCCCAGGCCTGAAGCCTAACCCCCCCCAAATTTCTGATTTCAAAAAAATATGCAAAACCATAACCCCACACCGAAAACGGAAGAGTGTCTTGGTTCTTGGACTCCGACAGTCAGGGCACATTTCTGGTCGCTTCAGGGCAATGGGCCCCGTATGGTCCAGGACTGGAGCAGCCAGAACACTTGGTCATGAAAAAACTAGCTGAACGAAGGGGGCAAGAATCGGCACATGAAGCAAACCCGGCACTCTGAACACTATAGCTTCTGGTTTCCAGTTAATCTTCAAAGTCCCAACATGGCTTACACTCGAGTGGCGCCACAGCTGTTCTGATACACTTGCCTGCATGCTCTTGGCACTTGCTGCGCAGGGAAAGTAGACAAGCATCAGTCCTCAGCGTAGCAGAGACTCGTAATTACCACCACCTGAAGTTGAAGCAGTAGCTGTAGTGGTCGTCGTAGTAGTAGAAGTAGTAGGCGTAGTAGTCGTCGTCGTCGCAGTAGTAGTAGCAGAAAGAGCAGCAACAGCCAAGGCAGTAGTAACGGCAGCAGCGGTGGCAATAGTAGCAGTGGCAGCATTGGAAGTAGCGGTGGGTAGCAGTAGTAGCAGTAGTATCAGCAGTCGCAGTAGTAGTAGTAGTAGTAGTAGTAGTAGTAGTAGCAGCAGCAGTAGTAGCAGCAGCAGTAGTAGTGGCAGTAGTGGCAGTGGCAGCAGTAGAAGCAGTAGGAGCAGTAGTGGTGGTGGTGGTGGTAGTCCAACATGTATGTGCCGACATGAGAACATCAATGTTCGCTCCAGGAGTGCGCTGTAAGGCCGATGAGTCACAGACTGGCTACTGTAGCCTATGCTCCAAGCGGAATCTTAAGTTGAGAAGCCGGGCACCAAGTCTGGTGCAATTCCTCTGCCCTCCCTCAAATAAACCCCTATAGAACCCTTATGTTACACCCTCAAACAAACCCCTATAGAACCCTTAATTATAGTAGACCCCAAAAGGAACAACCAAAGACAAGAGGCATCAGCCTGATACCTGCAAGCGAGATGTAGCTTAGTCACAGTCGTCGTGCCCTCTGCGCTGGATGATTCGCCGCTTGACTCCTGGAGGGTAGGGTTGAGGCATTTCGGGCACAAGGCAGCGATCAAGGAATATTCTCTAGATTCGACGAAGCTTCCTATGTATGCGAGAAAGGCTCCCTGTAACCAAAGTTCTACCATGCTTCCACATGGTCGCATGCGGTGTAAGCTTAACGACGTCCTACAAGTGAACTTTCTCTTGGTGGTTTTTTGGAGGGTTGAGGGTTTACTTGGTACACTTCTCAATTTGTGCGTGTCATCCTTGTCTTGTCTGTATCGTTCCAATTTTGTCGGAGGATGGGTAGAGGGTTTACGGTTTAGAGATCTCGAAACTTGAGGTTTAGACTGTCACACTCCCACAAGGTTCAGGGTTTTAGAAATTTAAAGATTTCAGGTTTTGGGTTTCAGTTCCAGCTTGTGAGAGTCCTGTACTTCCATCCTTTGCCTGCCTGAAAGATCCCTTCTTTAAGCACAGGACTTGCAGTGTATGCTTGCGGCAATTCCCAAACCCTAAACTCTTAACCCGAAACCGTCTAAGACGCCTCCGACTCGGGACTTCTGCTCCTTGTCTGACGCAACCCTCAAAGGAACCCATCGAAACCCGTTTTGAATTCATCCTGTGAAGCACCTAGTGCTAACAATCCACACAAAAATTTCTTTGGAATTTCATATCCATAAATGAAGTTATACTAAGCCCATCAAGGCATATGGACAAAACCCTGATAGAAGCCTGATCCAAAACCCACCATTTACCCCTAGCTTTCCCCAATATAACCCGTCTACCACCCAAAGAAACTCTACGGAAACCTATAACCCTAACTTCCCCTTACAAGCCTACAGAAACCCTTCAAGAACCCTGATCAAAAAGCAACCTAAACCCTTCAACCCTCCAAGCCTCACTCGGCGGCCGATCGTTCAGGCAGAGTGCAGAGCAGCCGCCGACGATGTAGGTCTCAGATCAAGGGGTTTAGGGTAGTTCAGTGCATGATGCGAGGGTTTAGTCAGTCTTGTAGAGGATTTGATTCCGTAGGGTTGTGCAGTGACATATGCGGTGAGGGTCTCAGATTGCGGAGTTTAGTGACTGGTCCGGAAGCTATAGAGGCAGGAGTTATCTTGCAGGACTTTAAGCAGCTTGGCGTTTGAAGTCTCACGTGGGGCTTTTCGTTTTTCGGTTGTTTTGGATGAGGGCTCAGTGTGAGCGTTACTGAAGGGTGCAATATGAAAAGGGTTTTAGGGTACAGTATGCAAGTGCTATGTAATCTTATTGGTGCAGCAAAAATAGACTTTGGAGGGTTATAGGAGGGTTTGTTAGTGTAGTTTGGAGCACTTTCAGCTTGTGTGGGCTTTGCGGTTACGGTGTAGGGGTTTGCGGTTGAGACCTGAATCGCGTGTTCGCAGAGCCCTTTGCTCTGCACTGCATGTTGGTGAAGCATGCAGCAAGTGCCCTTCAAGTCATGCAACTGCATTGCATACCTGTCATCAACCTCGACCAAGAAGGCAAGGGACTGCTGCTGCAAAGAGGAAGGCGACAGGCAGGGCCGCATGCAGGGGCAAACTCGTCTCGATGGTTGCCGTCACCTGAGTTTGTCCAGCACTGGCTTCTTTAACTCGCCGCTCTTCTTATTACGATTAGCTGGTGTACAGCAAGTGTGTACAACACTCACTTCTTTCTATTTAGTTCCCCAACTACCTACGTACTTCTTTCAGCACTAACGACGTGGCAAATATTGCGATTCGTAAACATACAGTGATTAAGTTTCTGACTTTGATGGTTAGTTGGACAGGACCAAGCTTCGATTGCTGGCACGTCCCCAAAACGGATCGAGCTGTCTGATTCACGCCGAGAGGCTACATGGCATACCTGCTGCCCCACGGTGACGCAGCAGTTGAGCAGGGCCATTTGAAGAGCGGTGCTCACCTTTTCGCTGCTGGAATAGCTGCTGCTCAGTTCAATTCGGAGGAACGGAAGGAGCTAGTTAGTAACTCAACTTAGAAGCTAAATGTTCTTAGCAAGGTGTAAGGATGGCTCAAGGCCAAAATGCCGACTCGCAAACACTGACGCTGCCGGGTGCACACGATGCAGGCATTGGAACAGTCGAAACCAACGTCAGGGAGCCCTAAACTCTGGACCCGAAAACATTCTTGGCAGCCGCCTGCTTGCCCTCTTGCTCTGCACGCTTGTTGAGCGTAGCCACGAGCCTGGGCAACAGTCACAATGTCGCAGTTCCACAAAGGCAGTTCAGGGTGTGATGCAGGCTCTAGGAATCAAGCAATATTTTAAAATCTCGAGCAAGGCTCCAAAGAATGCACATGGACTATCAAGTCAAGCTGCCCAAAAGGGATCGCAAAGGATCCCGTCTCCGGCATGATAGAGAAAACGAAGACGATAATTGCCTGGGTGCCCATAAGTAGCTAGTCTCGGCTCACGAATTATCTGCAGCTGTTCCGGACTACTTCCGTCTATGGCATGCCTGGAGGCTAAGTACACGGCTTGGGCAACTGACTCATTCTTGCCACAAAACCGACTCCCGGACTAGCTATGGCCACCTAACATGAAAAGGGCCTGTTCCTCTGTCTGGTTCTTAGAACGGAATGGGGGAATGGAACCCTATGGTAGTCCCTATATGATCCCCAATACTAAGCACCTGAGAAGGGCTCAGCTTTATCGTTGTTGTCGCCGTCAAGAGGCGAACGCGGCATTGTGGCCAACGACGTAGCCGGCAAGGAAGCTAACAATCGCCCCAATGAAAATGCCTCGAGATTCTGCTTTCGGTTCATTTCTGGACGCCTGTATCATATGTTTGCGACGGCAAGCAAGCTCCAGATCTCTGTGGAAGATCCGTTCCTGACCCTAGCCTGGACAAGTACCCCTAAACCCCAAATCATACCTCGCCCTTTTCCCCCCTGCATTGAGATACCATCCGCACAACTAGCACGAAGGTCATGTAGATCCTGATAAGTGGTTGTACCACAAAAACAGCCAGGATCGGGCTGAGGCTTCCTCAACAAAGTGTTCTATCTGGAAGTTCATGCTTCTGCGGTTCCTGCTAACTTCGAGGTAGGGCATATTTGGACAGTTGGGCTCAGAGTCACCAGGCAATGAAACGAGTAAACATAGACGCCAACATCACTGCGATCCCCTTTTGCTGCAGGCTTGCTTGCAAGGACGCCTGGGATCCCCTAAACCCTGAACTCCAAGCCTTGCATCATGACAGGGCACAGGGAGCATAGATCAGGCGTGGACGCAGGCGAGTCTGGAGCAGGAGCACGATAATCCTGAGCATCAACGCTGTGTTCACTAATATACTGTATATATATATATATACACACACAATATTTGTAATATACAATACACTAAATATATCTCCTTGTATATAGACTAATATAGACACTCTATGTATTACATGTGCTGTAGATATATAGGTATACACAAACCATGTGTACTCTTGCTTCGACTTGTTACCAGGAGCCGAGCCCATTAGGTGGTGGTGCGCCGGATGTATGTCATGCAGAACCCAGCCCTGAGTGGTAAAAGCTTCAAAGCCGATGGCAAGAAGTCACAGCCAAGCATCGACAGAGCTGCCAGCAGTTGAAATCCCGAGCGATACTGTCCGCCCATGCTGAAGGCGTGCATGCCTGCAGGGTGCGAGAGAAGGATTTAGAGAAGCTGCACACATAAAAAGCTGATAATGTCCGACATGCTCTCCAGGACAACATCGTTCAAAGCCTGCTAATGGACATCATTGCATGCGTCCGTCTCCAAACGACAGCTCTGCACGTATCTCCGACGAGTGGCCACAGAGGATCCTGTTCATCTGTCCAACAACTGGGAACCCCCAAATCGGTTCAGAAATTACACCATGTCAGCTTGCGACACAGAATTTGCAAGTCCCAACTCTCACCCGACAACATGTGTTGAAGGAATGTGCTCGCCTTCACCGTAGGCCAGCTTCGCCTCAGAGCCATCTGCTGCGTGCTGGTCACCTCCGGTTGTGGAGGCAAGGGCCGAGGCCGCGTTGCTGGTCGTACTGGGCTGTTGGAGTTTGCGTCGGGTTTGAGTAGTAACCTGGCCGCCAAACACACAGTGTTCTAGCTCAATGCAGAGGCAGGACTTCCCTCAAACTGTGATGCCATGCGTGACATGATTCTAGGAGCTATTCTTACATCAGGCATACTGGAGGATCGGGATCCGAGCAAAGGCTGTGGCAGGACACCTTCTGCAACCGGGTTTCGGACATAGAGGTTTATGGTTAAGGGCTTGAAATTTAGGGGTTTAGGCTTATTGCGGGCACCCTTCCATCTGCTAAAGCTCAGATACCCTTTCCATCGTAATCGGACCCCAGCTGGTTCAAGGACTGCTCATGCATATACTGTGTATATATATATATATATACATATGCGTGTTTATCATGCCTATATATATATATATATGTATATATGTATATATGTAGGTGCTATTCCTTTTCAATGTTGATCTCCACGTCCACGAGTCGACTGACATTAACTAACAGTCCTTAAAACCCTCGTTGTTCAACCCAAAACCTCGAGCCGCAAAACAAACAAGAACGGGATACTGCTGGGAAGCCCAGTATTCTCAGGCCCGGGAAGCTGGACAACTACGCCTAACACAAAGGCAGGAGGGTCTGGGGGGATAATGGCATTTTTATACAGGGACTACCAAGGGAAAATGTGACGAATGATGAGTGGCCGCCATTTTAACTTCGTGGCCGCCAGGAGAGCCTGGCCTTCATACACGGAATCGGCGAACCACTGAGAGGAGTAGTAGGTCCACGCAGTGTTTCCAATCCTTCAGCTTCAATCGACAGGCTTCGATATGCAATGCTGTGGCTCCCAAAAGCTCCGCATAAACTTGAGTTCCAGACTTCGGTACCTTGATGCAGAACGGTGGAGCACCCTACTTGGTGCTTGCACGACGGAGCCGGCAAACAAATGTATCAACTAGTTGGCAGAAGGAGGTCTTTGAGAAAAGTAGAAACGATGCAAGCCTGTTTAGCTTCTGTCCAAGTCTCCAGACCAGACATTGCACAAAGGCGAGATGGTAGAGGAGGCATGGCATGCCTCTCGACTCCACACAATGGGTTTCATCTCAACCCTGTAAGCAGGGTCAGGAAAAAGACTGATGCAAACTACTGGCGATCTCACATCCCTCAACCATCCTAACACTAAAGACAGCTGCTTCGGCGTCAGGTGAACTGGCAGGAGCTGTGCACCACGGGCTGACATTTCGTGCAGGTCTCTGCTTTACGCTCACCTTGATGCCATGCGTCGTTTGCTATGCCGGTTGATGAAGAAGCCACAAGCCGAAATGTCGAAGAAGCTCATAGACACGGTTGCCCAGGGCCTCGTATCGATGAGACGACGCTCAAAACCTCGGGCTATCCGGATATGTGCGAGTTTGCGAGCTTCGTCTTAGAAGCCTATTCGGCCAGCCCTTTATCATTTCGACTGGGAAGGAAGGGCAAATCGTCAAGATGCGAAGATATTTCGGGCATTGAGTTATGTTGCTGCAGATGCATCCAGAGTAAGCTTCCTGGCATGCAGTGCTCATCGATGCACATAACAGGAAGCCGTGATTCAGCGGACCTCCCCACGCACCGCATGACAGATTCCGAAACTAATGGTTTGCCAGACTGCCTGAAACTCAGTTGCACTCGTCTCGTAAATCCTCGTAGTCTGAACAGCACTTGTTAATTCACCGGGAGAGCCCGGAGAAGTGCCGAGCGGATCACACATACAGGCAAACACAGATATGCGCCGGGGGCCGTGCAGGGGCGCAGCAGCCCTTACCGGCGCTTTCCGCCCGCTTCAGGGGCACCTGCGGGGCAATGCTGCGGGAAGCCTTAGGGGTGGGTGCATGTTGGGGGAAAGGTATCGTCAGGGTGCAACAAAAAGATGCAATTAGTTTAGGATCCAGGGCTTGGGGTCGGGGGGTTGATGGCCTGGGGTATGAGGAACTGCTTGAAAGACTACCTGGTGCTCTGTGTTCGAGGTTTAGGTCTTTGTAAGCGTCGACGCCTACCATTTGTTCAGACGACTTGGCTTGACACCCCGTCCTACCTCATCCAATCCTAAAGCCTGCACCCAAACTCTGGCCTATAAATACTCAAATACAACACAGAGATCCAATAATTCGGGGCTCAAGCTCGACCGCTCCCCCTCCGAGCTTCTCGAAACTTTTGGCGATCTAGGAAGCCTACGCGGCATGCCCTTAGCCCATGTAAAATCCACAAAAAACCTATCTTCCTGTACTTGCCAGTAAGCAGAGCCCAAGGCACCGGAGAGATCGAACCTTTTCCCATGCCATAACTTGCTCCGAAACGAAAACTCAATGCCCGCACGAACCTCCTTGGCCACAGCAAACTGTACGCCGATGCAGAGGGTGTTGAGTGCACAGATCATGGCCATCAGCCTTTGTCGGTTCGCAGGATCGCCCCCTAGTATATACAAGTACTATGAGCACCTTAATCGAAGACCGCTGGTTGATAAGCCGACGCAGCAATCGGTAAAGTAGGAGGGATCAAATCGCGTCTTGCCGTGATCCGATTCCGCACCCTACTCACCGAATCCGGGTGGCTTCAACATGTGCTCCACGGGGATGGCATAGATCTGCATAATCCTGGTGTCCAGAAGCATCTTAAACCCCCTGTACAACGTTGAATTACACAAGTCTCGCCAGTCAACGCATACTCCTTTCTGCTCAGGCGGCAGAGGCAGGCAGTCGAGTCTGCTTCCGACGAAAACTCACTCACTCTTCACAGAGCTTTTCCCAAAAGCGCCCAAACCAGAACGATCCAACCGGAAACCCCGAAAGCAATCACAGAACCTGACAATTCCTCACTGCTGCCGGCAAGGGTCGAGTAGCCCAAGAAGTTTCCAATGGACATGATCACCACAAAGACCACCTTCCCAATATGCAGACAAGCCCCCTAGAAGCCTCAGGCATTGAACATAGCTTATGCCATTTGACGGAACCCTCTGTACCCCTATGTGGAATCATCGGCTAAGGGCTACGGGCTTAGTGTGTGCATATATACGTGTATACTGGCGGCATTTATGCAATGAAAAGTAGCTTCAAACACTGACGGAATGTGAAAGGCCCGGAGGCTTCAGTTTACCCTCTGCCTGCGCCATGCTTTGGCTCCCGAGCCTTATACGCAGAGAACAGGTATAATTATCATGGTTAATATGTCAGAACCCGGTAAAGATAGGTACTTGCACACGCATCAACGAATGAACCAACAATCTTTCAGATATATGTCTGGATTCTATGTGTGCAGACCTACTACTCTTTACGTTATAGTAGATTGTCGTCGAATGTAAATTTATCATTCCTTACCTATACACAACCTTGTTGGTCGCAGGTGGGGCCTGCATCGGCACCTGCTGCTCCACGGTAGCAAGGTCAGAGACCAAGGCCCGGTGAGGTGTCTGGAGGATGTTGATCGTCACCTGCCAAGTGCTGGGGTTTCGGGGGGGTTTTGGGTTTAGGTGTAGGGTCTGGTTCTGATTTTGGTTTATTGGTCCAACAAGGGGAGAAAGGGGGAAAAGACGGGCCTGCGACAAGACCTCACATACTCTAGATGCAGGGTCTGCATTCGAGTATGCGTTTTGCCTGTATGTAAGCATGCATGCATGTATGCATGCATGTAGCTATGTACATGATTGTACATGCACATGTATGCGTGACTTGTATTGTTTTGGATGTACATGTGTATGGTCTGTGTCGTATTTGTGTAACATGTGCAACGGTATACTCTCTCTGCAAGGTATGTGGTGGATGAAATGTAATTATGCAATGTATCTAGTTCATGTACCGTGTAGCAAAGACGATGCACGTAACGTGACTATAGTGTGTGTGTGTGTAGTGCATGCAGTATATGCTAGTGTAATATGCGCAGTGTTCGCACTGTGCGTGATATGTTGTATGTTCTTGTTGTGTGCACGGCATGTAATGTGCGCAATTTGCTTCATGCTGGTATAAAGTAAGCTTTTCTGATGTATCCTTTGTGCCTGTCTGCCCTTTGCCCGTCTGCCTGTACCTGTGTATGTATGCATACATGCATACATGTGTCTGCATGTAGGCCGGTCAGAAAGAAGGAAGCAGAGAAGGAAGGAAGAAGGGAAGCAAGGAGGGAAGGTTGCCGTGACATATCTGTATATGCCTCTGTACACATATACATATATATATATATATATGTATACATATACATGTACATACATGTATGTATAGAGTCATATACGAAAAGACATAGTGGCAGGCAGGCAGACAGACATAGAAACATGGGAAGTTTGGGTTCAAACGCTGGACTCAGAGGCTGACAGTGCTTGCTCCTGGCTTAGCTTGTGCGTGGCCAGGCACGTCCATCACCCAGTACATAGGCACCGCGAATCCAATCCTGGGCTGTCTGTCACTGCACAGCACTAAACCCTAAGCGGTACACCACAAGACTTGTAGTGGTTTTTCCCTGTGCGGCATCGAAAGCTTCACTTCAAAGCCCAACGTTTGGGGTTCAGGATTTTGCAAGCTTTAGTGTCTAGACAAGGAGCTGAGTTGGAAACCAAGTCAGACAAGATACTTTGCAGCCGTGTCGGCAAAGAGATGCTCACTGGCGGAAAACCTCAGACTACAGAGGCCACAAACACCGCTGATACTGCAAAAGCTGCTTTCAGGGCAAAACAAAAGATATCAGACTTGGGCTTCACTGTCGTTGTTTTTGCTGTAAGGGGCCTCTAGGAAGGCAAACCCTCGTCCAGCCGAGGGGGACGATAATTTCAGACAGCATGCCTTCGGCAATAACATGTAAATCTAAAGAATCTAAAGCCCTAAACAATCAGAGTGGGCTATAGTTTGCCAATGCTGGGGTACTTCTGCTGTGTGTAGCAACAACAACTATCCACATCGCAGAAAGCCATGTTCCCAACAGGAAGCAGTGACGCACATGGACTTGCGACGTGTGTTGCCGAAATTATGCATTCATTTATATATATATATACAGATATATGTATGTATCTAACTTGACATGTTATATATATATATGGATTATGATTCCAAGCCCGGGAAACGGTATTAGTGACAGGAGGGATCAAGCCCCAAAGGTCTTCAACATTCAACACGCAACAGGCCTCATCTCTCAACGACCAACACAACGTAGGGATTCCGTCAGTCTGTCGGTTCAACCTGCATCATGGACACCCCCACTGCTCCGATGGCATGCCTGTTCATGTCGTGAAGACGACATGGGGGGCGACAAGAGGGCGTTGACAGCCAGCGTAGGCTACAAGATTTCACCGAAACAAGACTGACAACGAATCAAGTTGCAACATCGTGGAGCTAAACGTTGGCAAGAGGCAACAGTCCTGCGACCCATGTGGAAATCAGTCCTCGAAACATCAGACGCTCTGCCATGGCCACTCACTTCAGCCAACATTGGCATAACATTGGGCATTGCCTCCCAGCCAATCCGTGGAACGCACGGAGGGCTACTTGTCACCGTCAAGGTGAAGTGTATGCCGAAAGCTGCTACTGATGTTGCGAGTGTCATGGTACCCTTAATCCTGAACCCCCTAAACTTCCTAAACCCTAAACACGTCATGATGACGAGGACGGGTGAAGAACTGCAAGCAAGCACCGATGATGCTTGTGACCCTCGGTGAAGTTGTCCCCACTGACCACATGAATAACGAAGATGTCTCAGTTTTGGGGGATCTGAAGTATATTGCCTGAGAAGACAGCCAGTAAAGCCTTTCTCAACCCAAAATGGCCTATAAACAGCCATACTTCAGAGCTGGAACGCGTAGAAAAGGTTCGGTTCAGGTTTTGGGGCCTCTGCAGTTTCGAGTTACAGTTTGCAGGATATGTCTTGTTTGCAAGCAAGTTTGGGATTTCTGCAGATAAAACTGATCTCGTAATTGTGGCAGGGTTAGGGTTTAGGCTGTTTGTGCTTTGCATGTTTAGGGTTGAGGGCTCAGCGGGCTTAGTCAGGATTCTGTGAGCCCAATAACCGTTGAATGTTACCCATTCAGATACTGAGGAAACCCTGAGGAGGTCCTCCCAAGATAATTGGCCGTCGACGGCCCCACTTGGAGGTTAAACGGTCTGACCTCGCATCGCATCCGAGGGCGTTCAGAAAAATCGGGCTCCTCTGGTAGGGCCCTTACGACAAGGATCCTGCTGTTTGACAAGTTTATGAACCTAGACCGAGAGACCAAGAAGCTTGAATCGAGACCCGGTGAGTTGGAGCTCAGTCCGAGGACAAGTTCAATGCACGGCAAAGCCAGCATCTGAATCCAAGTCCGAGACCATGCGCCGATGATCGGCCCGGTAAAGAAGCCTTGTTGAGTCTTGGGTTTCGCGCGGAACACTCCTATAGGCTTCCTGCGTGTATAGGGTTGCACTCATGGACTTAGGGTTCTATGCCCCTCTGTGTCCTTGAATATGTTGACTTCATGCAACTATGCACACATGGCAATCTCAAAGTCATGCAACCCCGAAATCGCGGCCTTTGTTCGTCTCGTGGTCAATGCCGGGCCGTGCAAAGAATTCCCGAGTCTGCTGCATCCGTCTGCAGCCAAGAAGCCGGTGATGGGACCTGCCACATTGTTTAAAGTCCTCAGCTAGCACGCGAGTCTCATACGACATCAGTCACGATGGGGAGACATGCATCACCCTATAGTAGCTCACAAGGTCTTGTCTCAGTGTGGTGGCTTCATTGGTCACGCCTTCTGCAAGTACATTTCAGTGGCAAGACCATGCCGTTCCAAGGAGTTCACGTAGGAGCAGGACACAATACGGGACAGCTTGTCGGCAGAAGGACGCGTGCAAATAGGTCATACATCATGCGACATAAAAGCAAGCCTCACCAACAAAAAGCAATGGACCATCATATGCGAGGCAGCTTTGTTCGGCGGTTGCTGCCTTGAGTTTGAACTCCGAAACAACAAAGGCCTGCTGAGGATCATGCACGGTAAGCGGTCTTTGCTCTAGGGCTTCAGGTTGAGATGTTTCCGATTTTCCTCCTCGAACCACAAGCTGGATGCATGCCCGGCTTCGCCAAGGAAGGGCCCACGCCCAGATGTCCCATGTATGGAGCAGCCTTGGCTCTTGCAGGCTTTTAGTTTAGGGTTTAGGGCTTAGGGATTTTGATTTCAGTGTGGATTCTGAAATATGCCAGTGGGTTTAGGGCTCTATGTGGGCACCTATACTAGGGTAATCAACTTCATGACCTTGGAAGCTACGTGTGAAACCTTTTGCTGTTTTCCACGTTGTTGCGAGAGTATCTAGCTAGATATCTCGCTAGAGGCTAGATGCACCTTTCTCAATCCTACATGGGCCACATGATTGTCTCGAGCCTCTGCTCCTTGGTTGGGACATCTGCCTTGACAGTCATCAGCTTTTATCGAGGCAGTGCTTGCTTCAAGAAGGAATCACCTACTTGTCGGGTATCATGGGGAACTGAAAGTTAACCTGTCTGGTTATATAGGGATTATATAGGGACTATACTACCCCAAAAAAACTAAAGGTTACCTACTCGACTACTAGGACCATCACAGGATTCTGGATGACCGAAATTCCGATATGCAAGACAGTGCCTGCTTCACGAATCAGCAAGCAAACCCATCAACTTCATCTTGGCCACGTTGGGCCCGATGAAGCACCACATCACCTACAGCACCATGCTCCACAAGCAGCTTTGTTGACTTTTATCGAGGCCGCGGGTACCGAGTGAAGACACTGCGAGTCTTGCAGGAGGCTGCTGCTCCCTCTGAACGAAGGATCGTCTGCAAAGTAATGCAACTTCTGCAACAAGCTCTGCATCACAACTGCGCCCATGGTTGGGGACTTTAGTGGCTGCTGCATGATTCGTAGTATTGATGTTTCATTGCCCCAGAACTACGAGTCCTCTCGGTTCTGGTGGGCATGGCGTCCCACAGCCATTAGCCGTAGCAGTAGAACCAGCAGGAGTGGAGTAGGAGTAGGAAGAGCAGCAGGAGTAGCGCTTGTAGTACTTGTAGGACATGTAGTAGTCGTTACGTTGTAGTAGTAGTAGTAGTAGCAGTAGTACTCGTAGTTCCAGTAGTAGTCGTGTAGTAGTTGTAACAGTAGTAGTAGTAGTAGTAGTAGTAGTAGTAGTAGTAGTAGTAGCAGTAGTAGTAGTAGGAGGAGGAGTAGTAGTAGTAGTAATAGTAGTAGTAGTAGTAGTAGTAGTAGTAGTAGTAGTAGTAGTAGTAGCCGTCGTCGTCGACGTAGTGGTAGTAGTAGTAGTATTAGTAGTAGTAGTAGTAGTAGTAGTAGTAGTAGTAGTAGTAGTAGTAGTAGTAGGAGTAGTAGTAGTAGTAGTAGTAGTCGTAGTAGTCGTAGTAGTAGTCGTGGTGGTGGTGGTGGTGGTGGTGGTGGTGGTGGTGGTGGTGGTGGTGTCGTTGGTGGCGATGGCAGCAGTAGTAGTAGTAGTAGTAATAGTAGTAGTAGTAGTAGTAGCAGCAGCAGCTGCAGCAGTAGCAGGAGCAGTTGCTGCAACAGCAGCAGGAGAAGAAGTGGAAGCAGCCATAATGTGTAGATCAACTACGAATACTGGTCAGTATTGATTGTTTGCAACATCTGCCCTGTGCCGACACAACCATCGACATCAGTAGATCACGAATGTCATACCCCCGCCATCACGACCAACATGTTGTTTCGCATCATCACCATGATAATCTATCTCGCCACTCTCAACAGCAAGGTCTTAAGAATGACAGAAGCCATCAGCAAGGCATTCCTGGCATAAATCTGCGCGCTTGCGGAACCACTACAGTCACCAGCGCACCTGCACACCGAGCTGTGGCAAGGCCACCAGGGTCAGTTTCCACAGGGGGTAGAACTCTTTCTCCTTCCAGAATCAACGTGCAGTTGGCAAGCTTGCTCCAGAAGCCATGTCAGGATTGTGAGGGCCGGGTATAACGGCTTTGGATGGGATTTGTCCTGCAGGTCTTGTACGGTACATCTGGTCGAAAAGAGTTCTTGAGGCGCATCGGGCACGACATCTCGATAAGAGCTTAGGGGGCCTTCGGGTGGCGGTTTTGAAGCTGTCAAGAATCTCCGGCGATTCACGGCATCTGGGAGTCTTGTCCCATCGCGCAACTCGAAAAACCCTTGTGCACTTCTCCGCACCGAAATTCTCTTGAGCACATCAAGACTCTGTGCTACCAGTACTAGAGCAGCTTGGAGACTGCATGGCGACTCTGACTCAACTGACAAGGGACGTCGCTGTCGGCGCTCTCAATTGCTGCTGCCTCAGCGCTGGGCAGTCCGAGCTTCCAAAACCTGCCTATATTGAGAATATTCCGCAAATACTAAAAAGGAATAAGGTGCCCTCTAGTGTCTAGTCAAGGGATATGGGAACCTCTGCCAGCTCCTATGCCAATTCTACATCCTGAAGCCTCCCAAACCTTGAACCCAAAGCCTGTTTCTGAAGTCAGCACGGCCCAAGGAAATCGGCACAGATCGAACTGCCAAGCAGCGTGCTTCCTCGCCTGGGTCGGCTCTACCCGGAAACTAGAGGACTGGGGTAGGGGCCTTCATAGTCAAGATAGGGTGCTGGAGTGAGCTCCTTCACAACTGTGATTAGCAAGAAATCGGTAGAACATGCACACACACACACACACACACACTCCGTCTCTCTCTGCTGTCTCCTTATTCTGCTGGTTGTCACGATAAGACGCCGTGCTACTAATACTTCTATTGTGTTTCTACGGCTAGCACAACCCTAACAAACGAACCTAAACTGTAGGATATTGAAATAATGTAGTTATAGTACTTGCGCTTCAGTACGACTCTGGAACTATGCTACACTCTGTCTGCTCTCTTACAACCTGTGCATGCCCAACCCTAGGCTCCCGATTACCTGAATGTAGGGCCTCTGGAACTCCCGTTGCCTAGCCACTTAAAATGTCCTCGAAGGCATGTCGTCGTTTACTCTTCATCGACACTTGCATGCCGATGCTCCCCTGCCCTGAGCGATACCCCTGAGCCGTACTCAGGCCATAATCATAACACCGAAACCCCAAACCCCCGAACCCTAAGACCAACAGGCCCAATCAGAATCATTCTAGAGCCCGGAAACGGGCCCCTGAACCCTCAACCTTTACCGTAAGGCCCTGAACCCGATAGTTTTACAGAAGGAACTCGTAAATCTTCAAGGGCTAAACCCTAGTAGTAGGGAGCCTTAAAAAGAAGTAGCCGCAACTTGTAGCAAGGAGCGGCCTGGCCCTTGCCGGGGCTCAGGGCGGACTCCTCCGGTTCACATTGTAGGGACACTAGCTCTCTGAGCAGCCCTTCATAGTAAGGGTACCCTTTTTTCCTGGTACTCGGTTTTCATACGGTGACCCTAAAACCAAAAGGCCAAAAGGGTGCTGCTCAGGAACCTCGGATACGATAAGGATTCTTAAAAGGGTCGTGTACTATAGGGGCATACTATATCCGGGTTGCTCTAAGGGATATTCTGAGGCTTACTACAGGGAGGTTTGCTACCAGCGCATACTTGTTTGGTTTGCCACGACTATGAGGGTTTCCGAAACTAAAGACTCCAAATATTAGGATCCCCCAAAGAAGGAACCCCCTTTTCACAATGCCCCCCCCCCCCTCTCTGTATCTTTTGGTTTGAGTCCCTGGAAGCGGAGGCTAGAGTCTAGAGCTTCTCAGCCTTTCAGACTTGCTCCTGTGTTTCATCAGCTTTTGACTTCGAAAATAGGCGCCTGAATACTTTAGTAGGGTTTGGGACATACCATAGTATGATTATAGAAACAAGCCCACTAAACTATATAGTATGTTTGATTCTTGTAATGACACTACGGCGTCTGTATTAGTGCAGGAAAGTCTGTTGTCAAGGCGGATCTTGAGGCAGTCGGGGCCAATGAGGGTTTAGGGTCTTCATGTATTGGTCGTTTAGGATTCAAGATTTTTCGGCAGCCATAGTTGTGGAGTTTAGGTGGGTCCTCGTCTGCACCCTCCACTGCGCCAATCTCATCGGGAACCACGGCCTTGGGCACGCGGATGGGCTCCAGGCATGCTGAAATGACCCTCTACTTTTAGGGTTTAGGGTTTAGAAAGGAATAGGGTTCAGGGTTTCGGCGCTCACACTCGGAAAATCCAGGCGAGGCATACGGTTCGGAGTCTGAAGGTTCAGGGTTTAGGGGTCTAGGGGCATTTTCCGGACTCCCGGTACTTCCAATGCTGTCCCGGTCAACAATCACACAATGCCAAGGCGCAGTTATGTCGTCTGCCTTTACTGCCGGCATGGCTAGTTCGAGGAGGCTGAACTACGGCTGGCGTGATCAAAAGGCTCAGCATGCCAAAACGTCTGCAATCAAGTGGAGAGACGGAGTCTCAAGCGCTGTAATCGAAACGGAAGCGCCTCAAGGCCTCAAGCAAGCAAGAAGATTTCGGGTGCAACGCCCGCAGTTGGCAATCGAAGAAAATACCGCATGTTGATATGCATGCAACTTTAGACCATCATAAATGTCGTCTCCCTGGCTCTCACTACCCATGCAACTTCGAACAAGTTGCCAAGTGAACCGTGCAGACTCTTCTGGAGATCCGGAGGTCTTAGCTTTGCAAAGGCCTTGCTGCAGGCGCTTCTTTGGAACCGACGAATCGCACACCCACAAACACAACATGCCCTGTAACTGTTGCCCTCAAAAGGACCTTGGTGCACTAGAGTCCGCCTTCCCGTTTCTTGTTTTCCTTGAGGAACTCCTCCCTGGCACAGGCAAAACCGAAAATTAGGGGTACCTTATTAGGGGGTCCTTATAATAAGCATCGTACTATTTAGGGTACTAGATTAGGGTCCCCTACTTATTCTCAGAGAGCACATAAGGAAGCCTCAATCTCTCGTCTGTATAGGAAGGCACAACATGATATGGACCGTAATATCCTGATGCATTAAACTGGGGTCTTGGGAATACAGCAATGGAAAATGTGCCGGGCTACAAAAACAGAAGGGGACCCAGAGTGACTTTTATGTGGTTTCACGTTAATTGGAAGGGGTTCCTGGAGATTCTACTAAGGTTTATAAGATGTCTGTAAAAGATTCGGGGGATAAGGGCCCCAATACTTGATAGGTTGTGGATACTAGGACTTATCCATATATCAAGAGTGATCTACTCTTTCGCAATGGCCCTCGCGAACTGGTCAACTCAGCTGGCACCACGCGGCTTTCTTGTACTCTGCGGCATCCTGCAGAGATCTCTGCGGAGGCAAAGCTGACTGGCTGACTGACGGACCATCCAAAGGGCGTGGGGGTCTAATCGGATTTGATAGGTTTTTTTGACCAGGCCCCGCAAACATCAGTTCTTCTTTGGCTGACTACCTGCCTTATCCAAAACGCACAAAGCCGCTACAATCCGGGGCCTCGATACCCTAACCATGGAGGACCAAGAAGACAAACAATACAAAGAATAGGATCTTGCTCTGGGATTTCTCAGACTATGGTTCGATGCATGCAGTAGAAAATGCATTCTCCTCTCCCACTGCCCACTGCAGCAGGACGCCAAGCCTCTGTTGCAGGTGCTACATACAGGATGAGGTTTATGGATGTTCATGGGCTAGTACGGGCTGCTTGGGCTGCTAGGAATCATGCCATGTTATATATATATATATATATATACTAGGTATCTAAGCCAACTATATGATGTGAACAGTGTCATGTGTATGCATACATACATATATATATATATATATGTATTGCATTAAACCTATAGTGCACATATACATAAACACTTATATTGGCTAGCGCGTTGCCCAATGTCGGCATTGCCCTCCAAAGGCAAAAGGGCAGAAGCATCCAGGCCCTGTTTGTCTTTGCAAGTTTGCACCTCTAACCTAGCAGCGAAATCGGAATGACGAGCGAAGTTATCTCCTCACAGCCCCTGTATCAAGGTACATAAATATGCCCGGTAAGCCCTCTACTGACCATCAAGGACATCACTTAGACACTGGGGCTACAGTCCAAGCCTAAACCTGAGTCAGCAACTCTTTGAAGCCCCATGTGCCAGCTGTAGTGAAGAGAAGGGTGCGTGGGACTTGTGCTTCAGGCCTATAGGGCTTTCGTATACGAAGTGGACTCGCGCGTTTTTTTCTGGACCTCCGGGTCGTCTGGTTCAGGGTCTCTAGCAGGGGACCATTACACAGCTCGGGCTGTGGTTCTCGAATAGTGCCGAAGGAAGAACCACTACTACTACTACTACTACTACTACTACTACTACTACTACTACTACTACTACTACTACTACTACTACTACTACTACTACTACTCTACTACTAATTACTACTACTATTACGCAACCTACCTTTGGCAAGAACTCCGAGATCCCCACGATAGAAATCTGGCAAGCGACCTTCGCAGCAGGTATCGGTGTGGTGATCCGGTTGTTGTGCACCCTTGCCCCAACAGCAGACTAGCAGAATTTGGTTATGAAATGTATGAATATTTTTATGTTTATGTATATAATAACAATAGTAATAATATATATATATATATATGTATATATATATATATATATATAGATATTACAAGAAGTCGGACTGTCACGTACTCGGCTACTAAGATACAGTCAGAGGCTGGGATCCGCAGGTCGTTCACATATACAGCGCATGCCGTGACTGTATACCCCGGGCCTCATTGAACCCTCTTCGCCGAGGGCGCAGACGGCAAAACTGTTAAAGCTGTATTGGCGGGCGAGGTGGATCACGGCAGGTGGCAAAGTCATGCATGAAGGCTCTAAGGGGGGGAGACTCCTGCTACCTGGCCCTCAGCACACCACGCTCGGTCTCGGGATACAAGAGGAAGCTACTTACAAACACCATGAAAGACGCATATGCCGACATACCTGCATCTTCTCGATAACTTATTCAATGCATTGTTTGAACCATAATCGCATACGCCCACTGCGCGACCCCTAGGCTTGGCTATGCCACGGGCTTGCCAGCCGAAACCGCGCTAAACCACCCGAAACATCCATGAATGCTTACAGTGTCTGAACTGCCAGAGTGGGTAGTCTACCTACTTCACTCTGCTTTGTAGTGCCTTGTTTGGGATAACCTCGTGTACGGCGGGGGTCTTAGTATCAGAATTAATGTAACGAAAACAGGAACTATACATTTGAGGATGAAGGAAGTAGAGTAAGGGAGCCACGGAAGGGTATTTCGTCCGTGCATCTTTTGAGATGCCATGTTTAGTCGAAGAAGATAATGTCGATGAGGGGTGGACCGGTTCTGGTTCAAAGACACTCCCAATATTCTCGCAGTCGGTGCTGTGTTTCGACTTTCTGAAAGTACCTGCTTCATTGAATACTTGGAGCCTTAAGCTTTGAGGGTTTGCCATTTCCATAAACTGTAAACCCTGAACGCTGAGCACAACCCGAGACCCTTTTTCCGAGGCTTAGGAATCGATCTCGCTGGCGGTCCGCACTGCGGTCGCCGCCTGCGGCAACCAGTCTGCAAATAGTCATTAGTCGTAGTAGTCGTAGTAGTCGTAGTAGTCGTAGTAGTCGTAGTAGTAGTAGTAGTAGTAGTAGTAGTAGTAGTAGTAGTAGTAGTAGTAGTAATAGTAGTAGTAGTAGTAGTAGTAGTCGTAGTAGTCGTAGAAGTCGTAGAAGTCGTAGAAGTCGTAGAAGTCGTAGTCGTAGTCGTAGTCGTAGTAGTAGTAGTAGTAGTAGTAGTAGTAGTAGTAGTAGTAGTAGTAGTAGTAGTAGTAGTAGTAGTAGTAGTAATAGTAGTAGTAGTAGTAGTAGTATATGATAGTCGCTTTACGGCCTTGGTCCTGTCAAGCGGCCTCGAATTGTCGTGATTAGACTCGGAGTTCCAAATAGCGGACCCGAACTTGAACTGTCAAGTCAACAAAGGGTGCAGCACCGAGTGTAGAAGCAGGTGTAGTCTTCTCTCCGTATTCCTGAGCCCATCTGAACAAGACTTCCTTCTCATAGCTGCCAGACTAAATGCCACGGTTGCAGAATGCAAAACACGACATGAGCCACCAACAAACCCTCTACATGGGGACAACCCGCATCCGTACTAAGACAGAGAGCTCCGTGTAGTTAAAGCAGGGGGCCGACCTTTGCTCCAGCTGCCGCCACAGCCTGGTTCTTGCAACTAACGTCGATCCTTATCGGATATACATGTATATATATATATATGTGTGTACATATATATATATATATCTCTCTCTCTCTCTCTCTCTCTCTTTCCGCCGTTGCATCAAAGGGTCTGGATAGGTGGGGGCTTGTTTAATTCTAACAGGGCTGAGTATCTCCAATTGGGCTTTGGGGTGAAACATTGAAATATACAAGGACCATCAAGGGCTTTAGCTACTAATTGTGCTGACCCCTGTATTCTTTCAGATGGCAGCATGGTTTAATGGTATCTGACCAGCCCAAAACGAGACCGTGTGAAATCGCATCATGTCCCTACACTGCTCTACAGTCCTACACCTGTAGTCTGCGATTTAGGGAGTGTGGTTTGGCATGTAGACCCGCGCACGTCGGAGATCCTGAACCAATCCGAAAACCCCTAAACCTAAAACTCGAAAAAAAACCCAACCCTTCATCGAAACATCCGAGTGGCCCAGGTGGCAGGATCCGGCGGCAGAAGCATCCTGGAAGGAGGAGTGTAGATTTTTGTGTAGAGGATTCAGGGTTTCATATGCTTTCAGTAGTCCACAGGATGACCTGCCGGAGACGAAAATAGAACAAGGCTTCGGCGTTGGGGTTCTGCGGAGGCTCGACTTCTACATGTTCTATGTTGGGATATTGCAGAGTCTCTGTTTAAGTTGTGCTAGTGCTAGAATGAATGCTTTGCATCCGCTGGGGAAGGTGTCAACGAACGAATGATACGCTTATTGTCTGTAAGGCCGTCTGTAAATGTTTAGCTGGGTGCATTGGCGTCAGGAGGGATTCGAAGAACTGGACTTGCTAAGCTCGACTGAAACACATAACCTAATTGGGACTGTGAAAACGTCCCACGCCTGCACCCTTAGCTAAGCCTGAACCCTGAATGACCCGCCGGCATCTAGTAGCCGGGGTTCTGAAAAACGGCGGCTACAATCGCCGAACCAAAACTTGGACCTCCTCCTATTCACCTCCAAACAGAGGCATACTCCGTCAGCTGAAAATTTGGGATGGTCTCAATAGTTGAAGGAGAACCAATTGCCGAGACAGGGTGTGCGTGGATCACAGCTGTTGTGTTTAAGAGCTATTACCTTTTACGACGTATTGGGGCATCTGTGGCATCGGCGTGAATCTAT